GATTGGCAGCAACCTCCAAGGCATCTTTCGCCTTCGGCTTCGCTTTCGCCTTGGCTTTGGCCTCGCCGCTGGACTTCGCGTTCTTCGCGTCTGCTCTCCACGTCCCCGCGGCCCCTTTCTTCTCTGCTGTCTTTGGTTGCAGCGTGAAAAGCCGCTCGCCCGCGCGCAAGTCCACGGAATTTGCAGCACACGAACGAAGACATGAAATGTCAAGTTCGCCTCACCGATCGCGACTGCGGCGAATTCCTCGCCGTCGCACTTCATGTAGACACGAGACGCACTCGTTTCAGGACATCTATGTATATTATTCATATCGTCGTCGGTCACTCTCGACACGGCCCAGAACGGGCACAGACTCTCGCCCCCAGAACAGCGCCACGCGGTGCCCGTGCCTTTCGCGACGTCACCAGAGGCCTCCTTTTCCGCAACTGCGGAGTCAACTGCCTTTAAGGTCGGCAAATTTGAATTCGGGATTGAGGTGGCACGTGCGCTGCGTTTTCTTTTCCTCTGCCCTGTGCGACTCCTCCACTTGACCGGGCGCGCGGCCAGGGCGGTCGCTCTTCGGCAGAAACCTGGCTCCCTTAGGCGCGCACGGGTAAGGCTGCAGCTCCCCCTCCTTCACGACGGCGTCGGATCTGGTGTGTTTCTTGTTGTCGCTGTCCAGGGCGATCTCCGCGGGTTGCTTCAGGGGCGCCATTGAAACGCGTTGCGCCCTCAACGCGAGGGAGATGGCAGCGCGGGCCGCAGCGTGCTGGCCCAGACTCTGCGCGCCCCCCAACCGCGCCCACGTTGTCCACGGCGCGACCTCAACTGAAGCGTTATCCTTGTCCCTCCTGTCCCTTTTCGTCCTGCTTTGTCGTGTGCTGTGCTCTCTCAGGGTCGCATTCGATGACCCTCGGCAGAATGCGAGCTGGCGGGGGCGCGGACGGAGCGCCGGCAGCTGAAGCGGAGGCCGTCGCCACAACTGCGGCGAAGTCAATCCAAGACTGTTTTGCTTTGGGGGCATCTCTGGCGGCGCCCTCCGAAGCGCGCTGCTCCTTGAGTTGGTCGCGGAACCTCCCCAACTCCTTTGACAGTGATTATTTCTGCATGCTTGTCGGCGCACATTCTTCTGCACCCCCCACGCCGCAAGCGTTTCTGCCGCGACGCAGGTCGCGCCTGGGAGGAAGCCGGGTCGCTTCAGCTCTGGAAGAGCCGCAGCAGCGGCTTTGCAAACGCCGCGGAGGTAGCGCGGCACCTCCCCCAGCGCAGCGCGGTCAGACGGGGGCGACTTCGGCCAGAAAGACTCGGGGCATGGACGCCACGTCTTGCCGGGTGGCTCGCAGTGCGCCCGCGCGATGACAGCCGCTTTCGAACGCGGCATCTCCGCGGGCATCTCGTTCGCAACTGCGAACCCAGCCAGTCTAAGTTGTCTTTTTAGGGTCTACGAACTTCTCTGCGAACGCCAGCAGCTCGTCCAGGAACACTGCTTTCTGCCCGCCCATTGCCACGACGAATTCGAAAAGGTCGACGAATTCGGGGTCGCCCACCCACGCGTCGAGCTCGTCGCGCACCCGCGCTTGGACCCGCTCGAAAGTGAGGCCGGCTTCTTGCGGCGCCTGTCCAGCAGACACTGCAGTCGCCAAGGATTTCAACGCGGTGATCTCCGAGGCACGCAAGCCTAGTTGCTGCGTCTTTTTGATAGCGCTGGAGATTAACGAGCAAGCGCGCGGGCACTCGGTGTAGATCTGCCAGGAGAGCACCTCCACACTTAGCCCGTCCTTGTAGAGCTCCGCGAACGCGGCGCCCATTGCCGCAACCGCGGCAACGTCCCACCTGCCGCCCTGAGTCTGGAGTTTCTTCAAAGGCTCGTACTTCGAGCACTCTGCGATAGGCCACTTGGCACTAGTGGTCGGGGACTTCAGAGCCATCAAGAGATGGCTGTGCGACAGCGCGCCGTAGGTTGCGCCGTGCGCCCCCTGGAAACATGTCTGATATGCCGCAACTGCGGCGCGCTTCTGCGCGTCGCAGGCCTCGCGCGCCTCGCAGCTCGTTTTCTTAAGTTGCTCCCGGGGAGGGAGCTCCTGCACGCTGGCCCCTTCGCGGTTGGCTTCGTCGGTCGAGAACCCGCCGGGGGGGGTCGAAAGACCGAGATTCACCGCTGCCCCTTCCATGGGGCGCCCCCCCCCCCCCCCCCCCCGCGCGATTGCCTGGGTGGGCGCCGAGGGTGGAGGGCGGACAGAGAACCTTCTCCCGTTGAACCCTGCACTTGGCCCTGAGGAGGGCGGCTCCCCGGACGACGCCGATGGCCTCCTCGTCCGCCACGCGCGGGCCCGCAGCCGCGGGCCCTCGCGCGGGCGCGCGGCAGCGCGCGGCCGAGAACAAAACGCGCAACCACACTTTGATCCGCGGCGGCTGGGCGCCGGCGAACATGGGCGCGATGCTGATGGGCATGATGAGGGCGATGATGATGAAGACGACGTTGACGATGACGACGACGCCGACGATGGCGATGAGGAGGAGGAGGGGGAGGAGGAGGAGGAGGAGGAGGAGGAGGAGGAGGAGGAGGAGGAGGAAGACGAGGGGGAGGGCGAGGAGGAGGAGGCGGCGGAAGAGGTGGGGGGAGGAGGACGTGGAAGAGGGGGATGAAGGGGCAGGAGGAGGGGGGGGTGATGATCATGGGGAGGGGAAGAAGG